GGCTAATCCAGGGTTCTCAGCAGCTCCGGTGTTCTCGCACTTACTAACCGTGCCTTGCTGTTCTCCCCAGAATCGCCCTGGCTTTCTCGCACTTACTCACCAGTCGACGTATTCCTCACCACAAAGTTCACTGCCATTTGGACTCGAGGCTTCTCCAGTGCAATGCTGGTACCTGCTCTTTGCTGGCCTCCATGCCTGGCCAGTTTCCTTTATCCATATTCTGGAGTTTGCTCTTTCCATATCTCACATTCCCTCAGACCTAAGTCGAGGCCGAATGATTGCTTTGTGTGATTGAGCACTGCTGGGCTGCGGTTGTCTTCTATCAATTGCTCCGACACACCGGCACCGCGGAGTCTATGCTTCAAGCTCTTGACCGCTTTGCACCCAGTAGCATCAGCCGTCCAAGCTGCATGCAGTGCTTCCAGAGTCTCCCAGACTCAATTCCGGCAGACCATTCATGCCAGTGCCCGGCCTGCCCATTCCATGTCATGCTCGCAATTATCAGTCCCTCTTGTGCCCATGCGGCATCTTTTCCAGGAACTGCTTGCCATCATTCTTCCCTCAGCTGAAGCGAGGCCGGAACATCATGCACCGGTCTTCATCAGCGAGGCGTTTTCGCAACCCTTCTGTTGTTCCCTCAGCCGTGGCGAGGCCGAAACATCCATTCCCTCAGCCCGGCGAGGCCGAACCTTTGCTCCAGCATAGCGAGGCCGAAACTGCCCTTGCATAGCCTCACATGGCATCTCCGCTGGTTTCACGGTTCTGAAAGCATTGTTCTGCGAGGGTATGTGGATCACCCTCATTCCGGCAAGCTAAGCCTGCATTCGGGTTTGCCCTCACATGGCCCTTAATGGCGAGGCTGTGCTCGCAATTCAATCCACTTCCACTTGCCTGGTTACTGGCCGGTGACATTCCATCACCTCAAAGGAGCATCCATTCCTCATCATCTTCCGACAAGGCCAGCATCCTTCTCGACACATCAGGGCCATACAGCATTATCACCAGCCTTCCCAGGTATCTGATTACACGTCCGCTGCCATCAATCATCAGGGATGGGTCTGTGGGATCGACATAGAAATCGATGTTCCAAAGTCTCGCATCTTCACAGCATCGGAAGTTCCGGAGCTGCAAGTGGAGGTTAGCTGCATTCAGGCTTCTTTGGACATTCCAATTCCCACAGCTGCCCCAGGCTGTGTTGCCTCTCCTGGTGCGACGGACAAAGTGGATACGATATGACTGCGACAGTTCCAGGAAGAGCCCTTCACGACGCCCCTGGTGTGACCATGCAAATACACAGCATGCAATTGCCGGCATGGTCCGTCGCTCTCCGTCTGCCTTGCAGCAAGTCTCTTTGGCGTGTGGCACACTGTCCAGGGCACAGTGGACGGCCACTCTGGTCGCCGATAGCTCACGAGCGGAAATCTGCGGTTGAGACGGGGCCCTGTTCCAACAAAGGAAGTTAAGGCCTCGGAACCCTCTTCGCTCGCACAGGTCTGCTATCTTCTTGCACCTCAGTTCCAGGAGGTGTTTCCCTCAACCGTGGTGAGGCCGAACTATGTTGTCCCTCCGAGCGAGGCCGAAGACTTCCACAATCCTCAGCTTAGGCGAGGCCGACAACACCCTCAGCAGCGAGGTCGAAAGTTCCCTCAGCACTCGGCGAGGCCGTACACAGGCAGCTATGTGGCTGGCAGAACTACCGAGCAAACACAGTGGTTTCGGTTTGAGTCCTGTTGGAGCCCACCCTTAGGTACAGCCTCCAGGCCACCGATCCGCTCTCTACCTGCGCACCCCACCGGGGTTGAGCCGAGACTTGAGCCAGGTGAATTTTACGTCTGCACGCTGCGAGGCGTAGCCACCCGAAGGGGCTGTGGGTTCAAGTGAAACAAAAGCTTACTAAAACTGTGGGGTGAAACTGCCGGTAAGTTCCCCCTCTCATTCCTTGTCCTCGGTTTTGACGTACCGCTACCCTCAACCGAAGTGAGGCCGGAATGTCGTTTTGACCAAGTCGTTGCCATTGGCTTGAAGACTTTGGCCAAGGCAAATTGCCTGTATGCTTGCACATTCTCTGTGTTGTCTATTCGGGAGGTGATCCATGCCCTCGTTCGTGGAGGCCGCTATCCCTCAACCGAATGGAGGTCAATTCCTGTAGACCCAGATGCTCGTTCTACGAGTCTCATTGCATGTCCTGAGTGCTTCCATCCACACCCCTCAACCGTAGTGAGGCCGGACATGTCTTCAAACCAGGTCATGGCCCAAGGCTTCATGGACTCTGGTTACGGTGGCTGCCTCTTGCATGCACAGGGCATACTTCCTGTGGCTTTTGCCGGGAGGTGATCCATGCCCTCCGATTCTCAGAGGCCGCTATCCCTCTACCAGCGGGGTGGTCAATCCCCATAGACCGTTCCATATTGATTGAGGCCCAATTCTGCACTTTCTCGTCATCTCACCTTGACGGATCCATGCCCTCGATTCACACATCTCCAACACGAGCCAAGCAGGAGGACAGGTGAAGTACCTGCCCAAACATACCCCTTTTTAGGCTGGAGGACGCTAAGCGACCGAAATCGCCGCTACGCACCGGTGACCCCACGCCACACACCTTCAACAGGTGGCCGGTACAGGCGCCTGACAGGGGGCCGGGCAAGGTGCCGACTACCAGGTCAAACCCTGCCTGTGAGGATATTATGTACGAGGCCGCTATCCATTGTGAGACTTGACATTCTCCAATCCAGCCGTAGCCATTGTTCCAAAGACAGTCGGCTGGCTCTCTTGTTTGCCACCAAAACTCCATACTCTCACTTGGGAGTCGATTACCCTCAACCGAAGTGAGGCCCACTCTGCGATCACGGGTCAGCTGCATGCTTGGTCCTTGTGGGCATTTCTGAAAGCAGTGACAACGAATCCTCCACGGAGTACGTCCCGGCTAATCCAGGGTTCTCAGCAGCTCCGGTGTTCTCGCACTTGCTAACCGTGCCTTGCTGTTCTCCCCAGAATCGCCCTGGCTTTCACGCACTTACTTACCAGTCGACGTATTCCTCACCACAAAGTTCACTGCCATTGGGACTCGAGGCTTCTCCAGTGCAATGCTGGTACCTGCCCTTTGCTGGCCTCCATGCCTGGCCAGTGTCCCTCATCCATATTCTGGAGTTTGCTCTTTATAGCTCACATTCCCTCAGACCAAAGTCGAGGCCGAATGTTGCATTGTTTGATTGAGCACTGCTGGGCTGCGGTTGTACCTATCAATTGCTCCGACACACCGGCACCGCGGAGTCTATGCTTCAAGCTGCTTTACCGCTTTGCGCCCAGTAGCATCAGCCGTCCAAGCTGCATGCAGTGCTTCCAGAGTCTCCCAGACTCAATTCCGGCAGACCAATAAGTGCCCGGCCTGCCCATTCCATCATTCTTCCCTCAGCTGATGCGAGGCCGGAACATCATGCACCTTCTTCATCAGCGAGGCGTTTTCGCAACCCTTCTGTTGTTCCCTCAGCCTTGGCGAGGCCGAACCATCCATTCCCTCAGCCGAGGCGAGGCCGAACCTTTACTCCAGCATAGCGAGGCCGAAACTGCCCTTGCATAGCCTCACATGGCATCTCCGCTGGTTTCACGGGTTCTGAAAGCATTGTGCTGCGAGGGTATGTTGATCACCCTCATTCCGGCAAGCTAAGCCTGCATTCGGGTTTGCCCTCACATGGCCCTTAATGGCGAGGCTGTGCTCGCAATTCAATCCACTTCCACTTGCCTGGTTACTGGCCGGCGACGTTTCATCACCTCAAAGGAGCATCCATTCCTCATCATCTTCCGACAAGGCCAGCATCCTTCTCGACACATCAGGGCCATACACCATAATCACCAGCCTACCCAGGTACCTGATTTCACGTCCGCTGCCATCAATCATCAGGGATGGGTTTGTGGGATCGACATAGAAATCGATGTTCCAAAGCCTCGCATCCTCACAGCATCGGAAATCCCGGAGCTGCAGGTGGAGGTTAGCTGCATTCAGGCTTCTTTGGACATTCCAATTCCCACAGCTGCCCCAGGCTATGTTGCCTCTCCTGGTGCGACGGACAAAGTGGATACGATATGACTGCGACAGTTCCAGGAAAAGCCCTTCACGACGCCCCTGGTGTGACCATGCAAATACACAGCACGCAATTGCCGGCATGGTCCGTCGCTCTCCGTCTGCCTTGCAGCAAGTCTCTTTGGCGTGTGGCACACTGTCCAGGGCACTGTGGACGGCCACTCTGGTCGCCGATAGCCCACGAGCGGAAATCTGCGGTTGAGACGGGGCCCTGTTCCAACAAAGGAAGTTAAGGCCTCGGAACCCTCTTCGCTCGCACAGGTCTGCTATCTTCTTGCACCTCGGTTCCAGGAGGTGTTTCCCTCAACCGTGGTGAGGCCGAACTATGTTGTCCCTCCGAGCGAGGCCGAAGACTTTCCACAATCCTCAGCTTATGCGAGGCCGACAACACCCTCAGCAGCGAGGTCGAAAGTTCCCTCAGCACTCGGCGAGGCCGTACACAGGCAGCTATGTGGCTGGCAGAACTACCGAGCAAACACAGTGGTTTCGGTTTGAGTCCTGTTGGAGCCCACCCTTAGGTACAGCCTCCAGGCCACCGAACAGCTCACTACCTGCGCACCCCACCGGGGTTGAGCCGAGACTTGAGCCAGACAGGAACTTTCGTCTGCACGCTGCTTGGCGTAGCCACCCGAAGGGGCTGAGGTTAGAGGGTGAAACATACACTACAAACTCTGCACAGTGAGCCTACCGGTACTAGCCCTCACTTCCCTCAGACATTTGTCGAGGCCGAAATCCATTCCCTCAGACCGTGGTCGAGGCCGAAAGTCCCTCAGGCCATGCTGAGGCCGAAGTTCCCTCTCTTGCACCCCTCAGACCGAAGTCGAGGCCGAAACTCCTCAGCCAGCACGCCGAGGCGGTATTTTGATTCGGTTTTTGGTGCCTCTCTGACCACTATCCATGTTTCTTGTCTGGCTTGCGCTGCTCACTCATCAGCTTCGTCATACGGCATGCCCAGCGTGATTTTCTGGATCTCTGTTGCCGGAACCGAAAGTAGGGTTCCATCCCATCCTCGTTTTGCAATCCCGGCATCCAGCAGGTGCTGGGCAAATGGCCCGACATTGCCTACGCACGCCATCCAAAGCGCGCTGGCCTTGCCGTCGTACGTTCTGACCAATCCACGTATGGTTGCCAGTAGCTCCTCATCATACTTCTCCAGGAGGCGTACAAGGCCGCTTGATAGCTTGTATCTCTCCTCCTGCAGCATCGTCCACTCCGCCGTGTCAAAGAACACTGCCCGTGGTAACGATCCTGACATTGGGTCGCGCCCAACGTTGCTCACCGTGACATCCGATAAAGCAACTCCTTGCATGGTCAGCCATGACGTTATAGCCACCAGGTAAAACAGGGACTGTCTGAGGACCCCGGCTTCATGGCGATGTTCCTGCCACCATGTGTTGAACAGCTCTGCCCTGCGGATGATACTTCCATAGAAGTAGTGGTGGCAGTAACCCTCCACTGCTTCGTCGAAAAGGACTCCAATCCATCCTGCCCACAGGGTCCTGGTGACCAGGGTGGGGAATTGTTCCCCATACCCTGCTTCGTTGCCAAAGCTCTGGGGTTCCATCGCCAGTTTCATGACCCATAGCCGATCCAGAGCATATCCTCTTCGTGTGCGCCCTGCACCTATGAAGGGAAGCACCCTAGGCTGTAAACTTTGCCCTGTCGTTGGGTTGCGGACCAATTGGACCTCCCCAAGCCAATGGAGCGGTGTCCTTGGCCTTTGCTGGTTCTGCAGTTTGTGCACCAAAAGGTGCACAGGCTTGGCTTGCCCCATGGCTTCCTTTTTCTCCTTTCCCTCAGCTTCCTGCGAGGCCATATTGTGGGCACCTGGCCCTTCCGCCAGCGTAACTGTTCGAGGCTCGCTTGCCTCTTGCTCTGTATTGACCCCTCAGCTTGGTGCGAGGCCGCGCTGTCTTCTCCTCTCTCCCGTAGGCGTACCGGACCCACCGGAGATTCCGAAGCACTCTCCTCTTCCCTATCCCAAGGCTGCTCCGGGTGTCTGGCCTGTCGAAGCGGGGAACGTTCTCGGGGCTGATCCTTCTGCTTGTTTTTGCTTTTGCCCTTGCCTTTGTCCGGCCGATTCCTTAACCAGGATGGCAGTCGGGACCCTTGTCTTCTCATCGTAGCATCCGTCTTCCATTGCCTCATTGCTACAGGCCCGCCTTGAGGATGAGGACGCCGTTGTTTCACCCTCAGCTCTGCGAGGCCGAGGCCTCCTCTCTTACCCTCTGCGGTGTCGCAAGCACGCGGCACCGCGAGGCCGAGCTACACTCCCTCAGCAAAGCGAGGCCGTAAACACCAATCGCAATTCCCCGTTGCGAGGCCCTCACCCTCAGCTACGAGGCCGAAACCCTGTCTCCTTGCACCAAACGGCTGCGGAATTACTGCGTTCCCTCAGCTTAGCGAGGCCTAACAAACAATGACATCTTCTGCTGTGCGCTGGCTTGGGGCTTAGCTTTGGCGTGTTTCCCACCAAACTGAACGCGAGGCTGTTGAAACTGGACGTTGCTCATATTTCCACCATTGACAAGGGTTTGCGCTTGGGTAGCCAGCTTGCCCTGAGAAGTCCGCGATTTGCACTCCCCCGCCAGGCTTTTATTGCACTTCTGGCTGACCGGTGCATGTGTTCGGTCACACTTTGTGCAAACCCAACGGATTCCCAAATTCACCATATTATGGGAGGGGTGGATACCCCACTCTTCACGCACTCGCGCCTCCGGCTGGTTGACGCAGTACTGCTCCAAGACCACCTCCAAGTTCGTGAGGGTTTGTTGTACATACAACCCGCACAGTTGACATTTCAGTGTTAAATTCCGGGGGTGTTCGCTGCCCTTCTCCCATTGATGCCCGCGCTCCGGGTCTTTAAGCAACTGCCATAGCCGCTGGCGTTTGTTGAGTTTGGCGTTGCCCTGCGCTTTTTTGCATCCCTCAACTTTCTGCGAGGCCTCCATCTTCTCTTTGTAATGCGCATGGTCCAGAATGAAGGGGAAGTCTTCTTCTTTGCGCTTCCTCAATATGTGGGCTGCGCGTGCACCGTACGCCAGGGAAAGTGTGCGCACCACATTGTCCAACTCTTTGACACGCCTCTTGTGCGCTGGGCTGTAAGCAGCCGCCGCTACTGCCCCACATACTTTGTCTGCCATGTCATTCGCTGCACGTCGCCACAACGTGCCCGGCCCCATCTTCGCCAGGAATTCCTCTTCAGTTTTGTGGGACGGGACCCAGGTTGCCTTGATACGTTTCCTGTCATTCCACACTTTGCTCCATTCCAGGTCATCCTCCGGCGGTTGTGTTTTTTGTAGCACTTGGACTGCCGGCTTGCAATCCATAGTGACATCAATCAGATCCTCCGTGTGCTCCATTAGTCGGAAAAGTGCACGGCGCTCCATGTCCACCACCGGCTGCCACGGGTAGACCAGCTCTGTAATCCGTCCGGCTTCCTCCAGGACACCTTTTGTCCAGGACATAGCCACCACTGCGAGGGCTGATGTTTGTACACGTGGGTCTATTCCTCCTGGACCTCCACTTGCGTCAGTGGCGAAGATCAAGCCTTCCGCTTCCACTTTTGCATCTGCTGCAAAGCATCCTTGGTAACGTAGACCTAAAAGGTGTTCCGGCGGCTTCGGGTGCCACACCGCCGGCTTTGGCAGGAGTGCCCTTGTCCACAGACACTCCCATGGGTATTTGTGACGCAAGTATTCCTGGAGCTTGGGTTCTTTGAACCCTTGTTCACGCCAGTAAGGACATTCCTTGAGGACATGCTCCAGAGTTGCTGGCATTTGGCACTTCTTGCACCATCCTGGCTTGGACTCCGTGATGACGCCCGCGTGCCACACTGACTTTATACCTTCCATAAGGCCTGGGCTGAGGCCTCCCAGCTTCGTCAGCTTGTGATGCGGCGTCCAATCCAGCCCCTCTTGTGCACCAGCGCCACCTGCCTGTCGCGCTATCGCAGCCCGCTTCTGTTCCTCCAGGAATCCCTCAAGCCATTTGTAGGCGAGGCTACCCATGCGTGGCTGGGTCCAATCAACGTTGAGGACACTTCCTCTCTTCCATTTGCCTGGGTCACTGGCATCTACCTTCAGATCCAGTAAGTACGCCATGGTTGCTGCCATCGGCCCCGTGACCAGTGGCCAATGGTGTTTGGCCGCACTCAACCTCTTCCAAGTGGTTTTCCAGGCCAAGTCAAAGTGGGCTTTTCCGCCACCGATCCATGCACGGAAAACTTTGGCCACCACTTTGAAATGCTGCTTGTGGATTGTGCGCTTTGGATCCTGGCATTTCTTGGCTCCCATGTCCAAGATGGTTTCCAAACTCCCAAGTTTGTATTTACCCAGGTGTTTTCCAACCACTGTTCGGAGCCATTTCATTCTTTTGGGTGAGACCCCCACAGAGGGGTGCCCCCACAAAGCAACTGATGTGATCGCTGCCTTGACCACGCGGAGTTTAGTGCTGGGCGGCGGCCCCAGCCTAGACAGTTTGCTATGTCTCGCACGGGCTTTCTTGGCCCGCGTTGCCGACGTCACCAAGCGACGCTTTCGCCCCCCTGTACTGTCGACGCCCAGGTCACGCATCACGTCATACACCTGTGGCTCATGAGGCAGCAGGAGTTCACGCAGGTGCTTGCTCGCCTGGGTACTGCTGGCCACAAACCCTGTCTTCTTGGATGAAATCGTGAAACCATTAGCATCCATCCCGTCCTTTAAGCTGCGGTAGACTCGTATGGCACTATCCGCCACGTGTTTAAAGGACTTATGCTGGATGTCAATTGAGACATCATCCAACCAACAGTCCACGTTTGCCACATCTCGTCGCCTTTGGATCTTTTCTATCACCGGGTGCAATGCCACCTTTGCTAACGATGGCGCCGCTGGGCAACCCGCTTGCACGCCATTTGTAGCTCTGATGCCTGCCGATAGCACCCCATCCGCCACCAAGTATCTGGCACCCATGTACACTTCCAGTGCCATCTTCAGGATTAAGCGGTGGATATTGCAGGGCCGTTGCTGCCATGATCAATTGCTGAAATTGGATGGTATCGAAAAAGGACTCGAGGTCCACAAAGAGTGACACCACATGCACTCCATTTGTCTTTGCCACCTCATTTCGCAGTAGTCTGCCGACGGCCACGTCCAAGCAGCAACTGCCTGGGACTGCCTTGTCGTACGTGGCAGCTGTGGCATAGCCTGCCTGCCAAGTACTTACCAAATCCCATCGCAGACGGACCCAAGTCCTGTACAGGATGTGTAGCACGGCGATTGGTCTTTCCCGGGTCAGATTCTTCGGCAGCATTGCTATAAGGGAGACTGTCATTTGCTGCGGCCATGCTGCCTTGGCCTCACATTCATGGTAGAAGGACACAACGGCTTCAACTGCTTTATCGTCCATGGCCTGCAAATGGTCAATCCTCCAGCCATCCGGCCCCGGGCTCTTTAGTGCCAGTTTTTTGATCCTTGCCTTGACCTCGACAGGGTTCAGCGGCTCCACGCTGGCCGCTTGTTTTTTGGCTGCATCCTCAAGCTCCGTCATGAGCGAGGCCGATTTTGCCAACGGTTGGCCCGTCGTCCACACTGCCGCCCAGTGGTCTCGGCGAATGTGTGGCCGTTCCAGCATGTCATATTCCATGTAGGGTCTGTGTACCACTTGTTCTTCTTTTCGCAAGGCATTGTATAATGGTCGCATGCCCTTTTCCATGGCCTTACTGAGCCATTGCTTGTACTGGTGGGCTGTCTCCTCCATATCCGCCTTTCTCGCGTAGCATTGCTGTTCGTCGATGCGCTTCAGAGCAAGCCTAGCGTCCGTACCCCGGCCCAAGATACTCGCAAGCATATCCTCCTGGTTCTGCGCATCACCCTCGTAATACTCGCCGAGCCTGCGTTGGACCAGACGCGCCACCGGATGTGCATCGCCATGATGTCTGCCTTGTTTGACCCATTGTTGGACCCGGTTCCAAAAGGCCGCCCTCTTGCCCGTCCAGACAACGTTCTCCGGGTTGTTGACCACCAATTTCTTCCGCACAATCTCCGATTTAACACCCATACCGTCGATTCGGCCTGTGATCGACCTCTCCACACCGGCACTCAGGTGAGCAAATGTCTCACTGAGCTCATCTACCATCTTGGGTTCATCCAAGATGTTGATGCTCTGTGTGTTTTGAACTGGTTCATATTCCACAGTCTCCGTCACCAGTGCTCCCGCCTTCTTCATCTGGGGAGCATCAGGGCTACTGCACGGTTGGGCCACCCTCCAATGCATTGCAGCATGAGGCCGAAAAGGGGTTTCCCAATCCGTTTTCACTTGCAGGATGGGCACCAAGCATTTCGCAACCAGCCCGTAATCGATTTCGTCCGATCCTTGGGCCGTTGGTTCCCCCACTCCAACAAATGCACCACCAACTTCTGTCGCCAGAGTTGTGCCCCTCATGGTATCCTGGGCTTCATTCCAATCACCCAGCACCATATATGGCACTTTGCAGCCCTTGAGAAAGGCTATCAGTCTCGCCAGTACTTGGATATTGTTTGGAGCCTGGAATCCGACCCCGCTCTCCAAATACAGACTGACGATGATCAAATCCCAGCCTTTATTTCTCATGGCACATGCCAGGAAGCCCGCCGGTCCTGTCCCATACTCAGTAAGGTATCGCAGGTTCCTATGTCGGGGTGCCACCACTGCCAGGCCTCCTTGTACACCCTTAGTTTTTGTACTGCCTGGCATGCCAATGAAGGTGTATCCCATATCTTGGCAATGGCTCATGGCTTGCTGGATACCCTCCGTCTTGAGATGGGTTTCCTGCAGCACCACCAGGTCCGGTCCTAGTTCGTGTATCCATGCCGCTATGGGTTTCCTCCAGCTGGTGATGTTGGCCGAGGTGATTTTGATGCATTCGGCCTTATCATCTTGGCGATACCCACTTGCCACATCTGCCAAGATCCACTTGGCATATTGTGCGTCCTGCTCCACAAAGGAACGAAGCACTTCGTGGCATGCTCGTTGTTGTAGCGGGTTGAGTTCCTGCTCTTCCAGTTTCTCAATGGCTTCGAGTGCGGCAGCCTCACTGGAAGCATCATATCTACCCACCACTTGACACAACATTTGCCACTCCTGTGGTAGATCCTTAGGTGGTGCTCTTGGGTGCGCTTTCCGTTTCTTGGGCTTTTGCTTCTGCTTCTGCTTCCTTTGGTGACCCTCAGCACTTTGCGAGGCCGACAACCTTGCTTCCTCAGCTTTCTGCGAGGCCTTTAGGCTATCCCCTCTTACCGCAGTTGGGTCTCCCATCTGTGTTTGGCTGCCCTCTGCTTTTTGCGAGGCCGAATTCACACATTCATCCTCATGGTCCGCACCTCCCAGACCGAAGTATCTGGGACCTGTGACCGCCCAACTGCTATCCACAGCACGGGCTGACTTTGGACCCCGCGTTACTGGACTCCAGCTCTCTTGGCTGTCTTCCACTGTGCTGTTTGTATTAGGCACTTGGGTACTACACACAGCTTGACTGCCTTCCCCATGTACCTGTGGCCATACAATGTCCCCGTGACACTGCTTTCGGCCACCGTCAAAAGAGAAAACAGAGTCTCCCCATTGAGACTCCTCTACTTGTCCTGCTTTCATAGTTTGGCTGTTCGGACCAGGAGCTGCCCTGAGGTGTCGGCCCCTCCGCTCCTGTCCCAGCCTGAGGTTTCACTCGCCCTGGGCACGCGCCGGCGAGCGTTCGCGCCCCGTCGGCGTTGCCCTGACTGACACATCTCGAGACATGCGCATCGGCCCATATATGCCAAGTTCAACTGGCATGCTCGGCTCTCTTGGTCCCAAGACTCCCGTCCAGTCTGTCTCCACGACTTTGACTGCCATCCTTGTTTTGAGCGCCTCCGCTTGCTCCTCAGACAGGACGATCCCTTCCTTTTCCAGGTAGTCCGCGACGTCCTTGTATGGCGAGTCCTCTTCATCCTTCACACAGGCTTGGACCTTCTTCTGTGCTTCCGCTACCTCCAGCTCCGTGGCCTGGATGGCCTGGCTGACTTGCGCAAGCTGCTTCATGGCCTGCTCGAACTCGCTCTTTATCTTCTCCGTTTTGTCTTGAAGCCGGACCTTCTTCTCAATGAGCGTTCTCAGCTTGTTTGTCGTCCGTCTGTATGTACCAACATGGCGGCTGAGTTCCTGCTTTGGCGTCTCGTCCTCAGGCTTATAGTCCCCCGGCGGGGGTATACCCGCCGCTCTGAGGAGCCTTTGCACTGCGGGCTCGGCTCCTTGCCACACAGTCTCAATGGCCGCATGGTACTCCTTCTGTGACATGCTTTCTGCCTGCGATCCATTGCCAGGTAATCCCGGGGGCCAAATTGGCCCCGGCTCCATCGTCCGCGGCTTCCATCCTGCTTCTTCGATGGCCTTCTTTGCCTCCATAGAAAGCGTACCCCACGCCTTCGTGAGGGCTTGGTCGGCCATCCCTTCTTTGTTCTTGGCAGGTCTTGTCCACCAAGTAGCGTCTTCCTTTGGCCATTGCCACTTCTTCCGCTGGCTTGACCATGCTCGCTCACGGTAAGTGGCCTTTTTCCACGCCTTTCCGCAATGCCAGCAGTTCGGGTTGTAGTACAAGTCTTCATTCCAGACCCAACCCACCTCGCAGTGGGCACACACAGTACAATGCTTCCCCATGACTGCTGCAGCCTGATGCCAGTCCCACCAGCACCTCAGCAATGCGAGGCCGGAAGATCCCCTCAACCGTAGTGAGGCCGAACTTTATGTGTCCTCAGCCGGAGCGAGGCCGAAACTTGGCCACTCCCTCTGCCGAAGCGAGGCCGAAAAACACACCCTCTGCCGAAGCGAGGCCGAAAAGTTCCCTCAGCACTTGGCGAGGCCGTACTCAGGCAGCTATGTTGCTGGCAGCCGACTACCAAGCAAACACAGTGGTTGATGTTTGAGTCCTGTTGGAGCCCACCCTTAGGTACAGTCTCCAGGCAACAGCACTCCCTACCTGAGCACCCCACCGGGGTTGAGCCGAAACTTGAGCCAGACAGGAACTTTCGTCTGCACGCTGCGTCGCGTAGCCACCCGAAGGGGCCGTTGGTCAAAGCGAAACTAAACGAAAAATTACCTCGCTTGAGGTGTTGCGTTCTCAGCTAGGCCCTCTCTCAGCTGCAACCCTCAGCACTCGCGAGGCCGACTTTGCCCTCCGCACGCATTGCTGTTGAGGCACTTGTTGTGGCATCAGCCTCCGTAAGTTTGGCAATCCCCACACAGCACTGGATGTTCTGTTCGAGGCATATTCCCTCAGCGCATGCGAGGCCGCAAAGTGAAACACGTGAGGTATGAAAGACTGCTACTCCAGGTTCGTCCGCAGCTCCGGCTTTCTCGCACTTACTAACCGTGCCTTGCAGCCTCCCCCAAAGTAGCGTCACCCTGGCTTTCTCGCTCTTACTCACCAGTTGACCAATAATGCATCTCACGCGGTTGCTTCATGGTAAAACTGCAGCTCGAGGTCCCGGCGTTCTCGCTCTTACTAACCCGGACCGACACTGCAGAGAAGCATGGACTGTTGTTCCCTCAGCGGAGGCGAGGCCGAACAACCATTCCGCTGCATCTGCGCAGCCAGGCCCTCAGCTCCTCACTGAGCCAGGGCTATCTCTAGACAGAGTTCCCTTGCTGGCAAGCCCTCTATCTCTATGTGACCCCCGCGGTGCCACGTATAAGCAGCTGCTCCGCGTGTCTTAGGACCACAGTTTTCATTCGGATTTGTTGTTGTAGGCCTTCCAGTGCTTGAGGCCGAACCCAAACACCACATCACACGTCACACGGCTAGGCAATTTGGCTCCAACATCTGAAGATAGTGACACATACTCTGCGTGGCGTCCGCGTGAGCTAGCCTGTCCTAGAGTTTAGGAGTTCGGCTCCTTTCATCGCTTGTCTTACCACAGGTCTCTTTCGGTGGCCCGTACTCAGCAGCCAGCACATGTACCATCCTCAGACGCCAGAGCCGCCTTGCCCCAGCAAGTGCCCATAAAACCACTCACCAGACAGTGAGAGCCAACATCTTCAAACAACCTCCAGCGGCCGTGCCGCGAGGACCTAAACATCTGCAAGGTTCCGCCTTGTCTGTGTGCACGGACAGACCCCAGCCCTTGCAGGAGACGTGGATGTAAACAAAAGCAGGCCTGCCATGTCCAGCAGGCTGATTACCATTGGTTGCCTTCAGATGGGAAAAGCGCGAAGATCGGGTAACCTCCATCTGAATCCTTTCCGGCCAATACCAACCCTTACAAACCCTCAGCACGGAGCGAGGCCGAAGGAGGCTTTCTTGGACTATTGGTTTTCCGGGGAGCAGCCACCAACAGCTGCTCTTCAACTTGCACTGCGCCGCACCACAGTCCTACTGCAAGTTCTTTGGCAACGGTTTCTCAGTAGCACCAGTCAATGAGCTTTACGACACTGATGCCTTTGGTTATTGTGTCCAGGCAGATCCACCAGGGTTGGGCCAAATCTGTTCTACCTGATTCTACCTGCGAAGAATATCCAGTTGTGCTCAGCTTGCAGATCCCCGAAAACCAGCAAACTCGGGCTCAAGCACACCGCTATTGTTCGGGACACTCCTGTCAACAACTGCAAGGATGCCGCTTGCAGTGCGACGTTGGCCTGCACTGTCTGCAACGTGCCTTGGCCGTTTTCCCCCGTGTTTCGGAGACAGGAACTTTCGTCTGCACGCTGCGAGGCGTAGCCACCCGAAGGGGCCGTTGGTCAAGGTGAAACTAAACTAAAAATTTCCTCGCTTGAGGTGTTGCGTTCTCAGCTAGGCCCTCTCTCAGCTGCAACCCTCAGCACTCGCGAGGCCGAACTTTGCCCTCCGCATGCATTGCTGTTGAGGCACTTGTTGTGGCATCAGCCTCCGTAAGTTTGGCAATCCCCACTCAGCACTGGATGTTCTGTTCGAGGCATATTTCCTCAGCGCATGCGAGGCCGCAAAGTGAAACACGTGAGGTATGAAAAACTGCTACTCCAGGTTCGTCCGCAGCTCCGGCTTTCTCGCACTTACTAACCGTGCCTTGCAGCCTCCCCCAAAGTAGCGTCACCCTGGCTTTCTCGCTCTTACTCACCAGTTGACCAATAATGCATCTCACGCGGTTGCTTCATGGTAAAACTGCAGCTCGAGGTCCCGGCGTTCTCGCTCTTACTAACCCGGACCGACACTGCAGAGAAGCATTGACTGTTGTTCCCTCAGCGGAGGCGAGGCCGAACAACCATTCCGCTGCATCAGCGCAGCCAGGCCCTCAGCTCCTCACTGAGCCAGGGCTCTCTTTAGACAGAGTTCCCTTGCTGGCAAGCCCTCTATCTCTATGTGACCCCCGCGGTGCCACGTATAAGCAGCTGCACCGCGTGTCTTAGGACCACAGTTTTCATTCGGATTTGTTGTTGTAGGCCTTCCAGTGCTTGAGGCCGAATCCAAACACCACATCTCACGTCACAAGGCTGGCAATTTGGCTCCAACATCTGAAGATAGTAACACATACTCTGCGTGGCGTCCGCGTGAGCTAGCCTGTCCTTTCTTTAGGAGTTCGGCTCCTTTCATCGCTTGTCTTACCACAGGTCTCTTTCGGTGGCCCGTACTCAGCAGCCAGCACATGTACCATCCTCAGACGCCAGAGCCGCCTTGCCCCAGCAAGTGCCCATACAAACCACTCACCAGATAGTGAGAGCCAACATCTTCAAACAACCTCCAGCGGCCGTGCCGCGAGGACCTAAACATCTGCAAGGTTCCGCCTTGTCTGTGTGCACGGACAGACCCCAGCCCTTGCAGGAGACGTGGATGTAAACAAAAGCAGGCCTGCCATGTCCAGCAGGCTGATTACCATTGGTTGCCTTCAGATGGGAAAAGCGCGAAGATCGGGTAACCTCCATCTGAATCCTTTCCGGCCAATACCAACCCTTACAAACCCTCAGCACGGAGCGAGGCCGAAGGAGGCTTCTTGGACTATTGGTTTTCCGGGGAGCAGCCACCACCAGCTGCTCTTCAACTTGCACTGCGCCGCACCACAGTCCTACTGCAAGTTCCTTGGCAACGGTTTCTCAGTAGCACCAGTCAATGAGCTTTACGACACTGATGCCTCTGGTTATTTGTGTCCAGGCAGATCCACCAGGGTTGGGCCAAATCTTTTCCACCTGATTCTACCTGCGAAGAAATCCTGTTGTGCTCAGCTTGCAGATCCCCGAACACCTGCAAGCTTGGGCTCGAGCACACCGCAATTGTTCGGGACACTCCTGTCGCCACTGCAAGGATGCCACTTGCAGTGCGACGTTGGCCTGCACTGTCTGCAGCGTGCCTGGCCGTTTTCCCCCGTGTTTCGGTCTCACCTTCGTTTTCCACACAAGTGAGCGAGGA